GAATACATCCACTGGCGAATTCTTGACACATCTCCCGATACCCCCCCACACACACACACATTAGAGTTCCTCTTACTTTCCCAGGCCTTATTTATTTATCATTGAAAAAGGGTTTCGCCGGGCAGTGGTAGCGCACACCTTTAATCCCACCACTTGGGAGGCAGAGGCAGGCAGATTTCTGAGTTTGAGGCCAGCCTGGTCTACAGAGTGAGTTCCAGGACAGCCCGGGCTACACAGAGAAACCCTGTCTTGAAAAACCAATAAAAAAGAAAAAAGAAAAAGGTTCCAGTATGCAGACACCCCTCACTGGCCTGGAGCTCCATATGTAGAGCGGGCTGGCTTCAAACTCATAGATATCTGTCTGCTTCTGCCTCCCCAGGGCTGGGATTAAAGGTGTCTGCCACTATGTCCAGCGCAGTCTTTATATTAAATATATGGCACAGCTGGACACATGCCTGTAATCTTAGCATATGTGAGGTGGAGAATGGAAGAATCGGGGGTCATTCTAAGCTATGCAAAGAATTAAGAGCCTAGCCTGGACTATATGTAATCTTGTCTCAAAACAAAACACCAGACCAACAAACAAAAGACATACACAAAGAGTCTGACTGTAATAGCTATGGAGATCTTTAAGGGAAGGAAAACAAGAAATATGGTTACATTTTCTTTGGTGCCTATTGCTACATTCTCCCAGCTGCCCTGTAAACAAACTCCTGAGCCTTATACTTCTCTTACCTGCCTTTAAGAACACACAGGAAGGGCCCAGCACACAAGGATCCAACCACTCATTTCTAATAACAAGCCCCACCTGCGCAGAGACCTAGTCTCCCCAGAGGGAAGCGCGCCATCTAGTGACTCAGTATTTACTTGCAGGTTGTTTTCACAGTGTATTTTCAATTTTTGTCTCTAGCCTTTTTTTGTTTGTTTTTGTTTTGTTTTGTTTTTGTTTTCGAGATAGGGTTTCTCTGTGTAGCCTTGGTTGTCCTGGAACTAGCTCTGTAGACCAGGCTGGCCTCAAACTCAGAGATCCACCTGCTTCTGCTTCCAGAGTGCTGGGATTAAAGGCGTGTGCTACCACCCTTAGCTAAAATATTGATCCTTACTTATGTGTATGTCTGTGTGACTGAGTGAGTTTATTCCCACCATGTGCATGCAGGTGCTACAGAGGCCAGGTGGTTGCATGCCACCAGATGTGGGTGCAAGAAAAAGACATCTGAGTCCTCAGGAAGACTTTGTACATACTTGAGCCTGCTGAACCTCCAGCCTGAAGCCATACCCCAGCTTTGTAGACCAGGGTGGCCTTGAACTGAGAGTTCTGCCTGCCTCTCTGCCTTGTGAGTGTTGGCAGTAAACGAACCTGCCACCCAGGAGGGACCAGTGAATTCAAACTCTGGGGACAGAATATGTCCTGAGGGGAGGTCCATCACAGAGTAGAAGAAGCTACTCTCAAGATTGTGGAGCCACATCCCTACCTTTTTTTTTTTTTTTTTTTGGTTTTTCAAGACAGGGTTTCTCTGTGTATCCCTGGCTGTCCTGGAACTCACTCTGTAGACCAGGCTAGCCTCGAACTCAGAAATCCGCCTGCCTCTGCCTCCCACGTGCTGGGATTAAAGGCATGCACCACCACCGCCCGGCTTCATCCCTACCTTTTTTTACTTTATTTCATGACAGTGTCTGGATTGTCCGGGCCAGCCTGTACCTCCTAATCCTCTTACCCGGATCTTCCAAAGGCTATGATCACAGGCTTGTGCTCCATGCCTGGCTCTCCTCTGCTAGAGTTCATCTCCTGTGTAATCACCATAACTAATAGGACATTGTAAAAACTGTCTTATGTGTCGTTTGAGGTTCTTTCATTCTTGTGTTCTCTTTTGGAGCACCTGCTCTGGAGGAAAGCCATGTAGCAACATCGGGAAAATAACCCAGGAACAGCACACTGTGGCAAAGAGCTGAGGCCGCTTGCTGATAGCCATGTGGATCATATCCAATATCCTGAGAGACCTAAGCCTGAGCCATTCACCTAAGTGACTCCTGACCCACAGAAACTTCAAGATGATAATTTATTGTTTTAAGTTTGGGAATAATCAGGTAGGTGTGAGCCTTGCCAATGCTCACAGGACCTTTTTACTTTTACTTATGGTGCTGTGAATCGACGAATCTAGGGCAGGCGCTCTACCACTAAGCTGTCCCAGGACCCACAGACAGGAAGGAAGGACTGCAGGTAGATGGGTGGGCCAGTCCAGATGTGGGTGGGCCAGTCCAGATGTGGGGTGCCAGCCTGGAACTATTATGTTTGCTGAGCTAAAAATAAAAAAGCAGGTTCGGTCAGTCAGGGCAACTCTCTGACACCCTAGCTCATAAGCAAACTTAATTAATTTTCTCTACATAGAGGGTTTCTCTACATAGTCCAGCAGTTCTAGAATGCTTGGAGATCCACCTGCTTCTTCTGCCTCCAAGTGCTGGGACTATAGGCGTGCATCGCTACACCTGGTTCAAGAGCAAACATTTAAGGGGGGGCAAAGATGAAACCATAACTCAGTTTGGATAGTAGAGTGCTTGCCTGTCTATACAAATATTGAAGCGCAAGGAAAATTAAAAGAAATACGGGGAGAAGTCAGTATATGTATAAACATGTAAATAAAATAAAGATGTCCAGTAAGTCATGTGGAGAGGGCACCCACCACTTTAGGAAAGCTGCCTGGAAAAGGCTTTGCAGAAATGACGTATGAGTGTCGTGTTCTTTGTTTGAGTAGCATTGGCCAGCCTGGAGCCTGTGTTCGTGACTTCTTAGTCATTTTAGGCTTATAGATTTACAAGCTAAAAAACTGCCATTTCAAGTCTAACTCGTCTGCAATCAGTCAAATGTCTGCAGTTTAGAACAGCTTCAGGTTAAATGTCAGGGGTTGGGTGGGGGTGGGAATGGGGGGGAGTGACTGGGGATATAGTGTTACAGCCTAAGGGTTGTGAAGGGGAAGACCACGCCCACGGAGTGAAGATAAAGGGCCTTGTCACGGGGAGTAGTCGCTTCATCTAGAGGACAAGAGAAAGCCACTGCAGGGTTTTTAATTGAATGTGATAGGCTCCAGATAATCATCTTAGAAAATCACTTTGACAATGGTGGAATGAGACATCAGCCCTGAAGGCACGGAAACATAATGTGTTCTTACAGAGACCCAGACGGTAATCTAAAAGACCAGTCTTAAAGACTGGGCTGCCAGTGGGGGCTCGACATTTTAATTCCAGCTTTCCGGCAGCAGAGGCAGGAGGAGCTCTCCTGTTTAGCTATCCAGGTCTACATTGTGAGTTCCAGGACAGCCAGGGCTACACAGTGAGACCCTGTGTCAGAGAGAGAGTGGGGGTGGGGGGAGGGAAGGAAGAAAGGAAGGAAAGAAAGAAGGAAAGAAGGAAGGAAAGGAAGAGATGGTTCAGTGGTTAAGAGCACGGAGCACAGGTTACTTTTGTAGAGGATCCAGGTTCAGTGCTCAACACCCACATGGTAACTAACAACAGTTTGTAACTCCAGTTCCAGGAGATTCAATGCTCTATTCTGTCCTTCTCAGACACTGCATACATGTAGCATACAGACATACATGCAGCCAACAGACCCATATACATAAAAATAAATGATATTGAAAAAAAACACATCTGGGCTGGAGGATGGCTCAGTGATTAAGAGCCTGCCTGCCTGCCTGCCTGCCTTCCTTCCTTTGTACTTTGATGGGGTTTCTCTATGTAGCCTTGGCTGTCCTGGAACTTGCTCTGTAGACCAGACTGGCCTTGAACTCAGAGATACCTACGGTTTTCAACAGTATCACTCTTTGGGCCTCGTTCAGAATGGATGCTGGGTGGAAAGGTCAGGAATAGGGATATCTGTTACAGAGCTAGTGCAGGAGTTCAAGTCAGAAAGGGGCCTTGGTCCTCCATCATAGTCATGTGTGTGTTTCCTGATGGCTTGGGAGTGGAGTGTGCTGAGGACTCTCAACAGCAAGACTGGTCCTAAACAAAAGGAAAGCTATTGCCATCTACAGAGACGGAGAAGGCTCAAAGACAGCCTCTCTGACTTTCCCGCTATTTTGTTTGGCTTGATGGTTTTGACGGAGGGGACGAACCTAGTCATATCTGGTCTGCGGGCATCCAAGTTGGAATGTCAACCCCTTTTAAGTATGAAAGCCAGAAAAAAAAATGCCTGGAGACGTTTGGGTTTTTAAACTGACACTCCTTAGGCAGACATGCCCACTTCCCGACTTTTCTTTTCCATGAAAAAGCAGAAGAGGTGCGTGTGTTTGTGAAAGATGGAATGACACAAGGTTGCCCCAGAAAAGTTTTTCTGAGAGAGAAAGCGCTTGGTGGACATACTAGAGGGCCCGCCCTGGTCCTCTTCCACTTCCTGCCCTTCAGCGTGGTTTCGCAGCAGAAGTACAAAAAGGTATCCAATGGACACCTCAAGCACAAGCCAGATGCGACGCACATCCGGCTAACACGCGGGCTTCACTGGGACTGACACTCCAGGGTCAGCCCCGCCGGCAGCCTCGTAAAGCCCATTCATAGCTCAACTTTCACAATGACAACTAATCAGTGCCACCCCTAAGCAGTCATTCTCTTCTACGACTACCCCATCCACACCAGAATTGAGGCCTCCCCCCGCCCCCATCTCCCCTCAATTCCCTCCGCCCTCCCTCTACGGGTCGAAGGAAGGATCAACTCAAATCGCGCGAACACCGCTGATCATGCGCCACAAAAAAAGATCTGTAGGGTGGGGCGACCAAGGATTCGCTCTCCTATTTCCATTGGTTGTAGACATCCGGCTCACCTCCTCTCGCTGCGAAAGGCTGCGGGCCTGCTGCGCTTGCGCATGCGTGTCGCTCTCGTGGCGTACTGAGCAGTCGCAGCTACATGCCCGCCGGAGGGGGCGGGTGAAGAGGCGCGCGCAGCATCCCGGCGCTGGGCTCCTCTCTGCCGGTCCCGCCCTCCGTCGCGGCGGCGCGGTGCACACTGGGATAGGGAGCGATCTCCGAGCGAGGCAGCAAGATGGACGCGGGATTCTTCCGCGTAAGTAGGAGCGCGGGGATCTGGGGAGAGGCGAGAGGCTTGTTTGTAAGACCCGAGGGGGCGCTCAAAATTCGGGACAGGACGGCCCGTGGAAGGAGGCCTTAGAGACCCCGAGGGGGCTTGTGGCCAGCGCACGCTGTCCTCGGCCTTGCGGCCGAGACCGGTGCGCCCCTGCGCAGTCTCCTCCTCCGGGATCGTCCCCCCCTACGCGGCGGCGGCGGTGGCCGGAAAATGGCGGCGGGAATGGGCTAGAGCCGAACCTCACCGGCCGCCTTGGCGAGGCCTGCAGGCCGGGCGCCGCACCGGCCGCCAGCGCTTGGGGCCTAGCGGCGCCCCAAGGAGGAAGTCACTAGGGGGAGGCCGGTGGGAAGCCTGAGGCGGCTTCGGGGTACCGGTTGTACGGTTTGGGGATACGTCCTGAGAGACGTTTTTTGGGGAGAGGGGCCTTTTTTAGCGGCAGCTTTGGGGAAAGCGAGTGTGTCCCCCCCAACCCCTACGTACAGCGTCCACCCTCTGGGTCTTAAGCTTTCGCGGCGGCGCAGGGTCAGAGTTCGTGAGCGCTCCCGCCCAATTTGATAGCTCTTTGGGGAGGAGAACTTAGATAATTTGTAGTTGGAACATTTGAATCGCAGGCTTTTAGAGCGAACTGTGTGTGCGAGGGTGGAGGCAGATTACGGTGTGAATCCACAGCGCTTCCCGCTCTTCGCTAGCACCCTTTCCCAGCGGCCCATGTTTGGAGGCCGGTGGTTCTACCCTAAGTCCAGGCAGGGGACATTACACGTATCTCACAGTAAGGAAGTTTATTAGTTCCACTCTTGAAGAAAATTAGCTACAGGTCGAGATCTAGGTGTATGGGAACTGACGCTTGTGGGATTAAAAGTAGCAACGATCCCTTTAGGGATCGCTGATTCTTTCAATGAAGAGTAGAATCTTAGAGACTGGTAATTAAAAGTTCAAGTCCCAGCTATTACGTTTTTGCATTTCTTGGATCAAACATACAGTTTACAGTTTGTGTACATTTTTTTTTAAGAAAAAAAATTGGGGGGGCCAGAGAGGTGGCTCAGGGGTTAAGAGTACTGACTGCTCTTCCAGAGGTCCTGAGTTCAATTCCCAGCAACCACATGATGGCTCACAACCATCTGTAATGAGATCGGAAGCCTTCTTCTGATGTGTCTGAAGACAGTTACAGTGTACTCATATACATAAAATAAATCAATCTAAAAAAGAAAAAACTGGAAGGAAGGGCAAGGGGGATAATAAGGATGCCTCTTGTGACTGGATATGTGGCCCATGAGAGCTTGTCTGACACGAACAGGACACTGGCTTCCATCTCCACCACAAATATTTGTACTACAAACCAGGCACTTAACCTTTGTGGTCAGTCTTCATTATTTCTTATGGCACAGGGGTTACACTTAAAAACAGCTAAAGGTTTCTTTTATTTGTAGATTATTTCCCCTCCCCTTCAGTTTTTGTTTTTGTTTTTCAGGAAGTGGTTTCTCTGTGTAACTTGGGCCATCCTGGAACTCTGTAGGCCAGGCTAGCCTTGAACTCAGGGATCTGTCTGCCTCTGCCTCCAGAGTATTGGAATTAAAGTGGCCTTGTCAGTTATTTCTAATGGAAAGGAGATTGAAGAAAGCAAACAAAGCAGTACATCAAGAGAAGTTGTCCTTCGAAACGGACAGATCTGGAAAAGAATCCAGATTTTAAAATATTCTCTTTACACTTACCTAGATGAAGTAGGTCTTAGAGGGGAGGATAATTGAAACTGTTCTGAAACTAGGTTCTCTAACCCAGACTTCCCTTGGAGTCCTGCCTTGACCTCCCAGTACTAGAATTTTTTAGACATATGGTACACACTGGCAAAATGGGGGAGTCGGAAGTATTTACACTCTGAGTTAGAAACGTTTAGATTGCCAGACAGTGGTCCATGCCTTTAATCCCAACACTTTGGGAGGGGAGGCAGATGCAGGTGGATCGCTGTAAGTTTGAGGCCAGCCTGGTCTACAGAGTAAGTTTCAGGACAGCCAGGGGTACGCAGAAACCCTGTCTCCAAAAAAAAAAAAAAAAAAAAAAAAAAAGCAAGGGGAGAATTCGGGGGATTTTAGATCAGTTACCTAGAACAACCTGATTCTGACTAGAATTGGATTTAAGAATTGACGACCTATATTTACTGAATAACAGTAGCCTTCCAAGATAATTTCTTTTCTTTATTCCTTTCTTTCTTTCTTTTTTTCCTTTTCTTTCTTTTTTTTTTTTTGAAGAGGTGGTTGAGAAGATCTTGATATGCAGACCAGGCCAGCTTTGAACTCTTTAGAGATGGCCTACCTCTAAAGGTGTAGGGCACCACTCTCAGCCCAAAACTATTTTTTTTCCTTTAAAACCTTTTTGGTTTTGCAGTACTAGGGCCCATGCACGGCTTTGAATATGTTAGCCAAGCACTGCCACACAGTTACAGCCTTTCTGGATCACTTTCCAGGGGACTTGAATAGGTTTGATCTTTTCACCGACATGAAATAGTTACACATAATAATGCCATGTAATGAACAAATAAGGGTAATTGGCATACCTTATCACCCCAGACATTTAGCTTTATTTTTTGGTTCTTTGCCCCTAATTTGTCATGTGAGGAAAACATCCTCAGAGATTAGGTTTTGTGTTCTCAGGACTTATGGTGGTGTAGTAGCAGAGCGGACACACTACTATAGGGTTTTTTTTTCCCCCTTCTCAAACATCTTAGGTTTTGAGACAGGGTCTCAATTCCGAAGCCCTAGCTGTTGATTAGACTAGCCTCCAATTCAAGGAGACCCTCCTGTCTTTGCTTCCTGAGTCATTAGACAATTAGTCATTGTCTTTGCTGTCATTAGAGGTTCTGGACACCATACCCAACTCAAAACTTTTTGTTGTTGATATGCACTACGTACCGTACTGGGGTGTCGTTACATGTAGCTGTGTTCTCTTGCCTGCCGCTCTGCTATAGTCAGACCTGCTATAGTTTTCTTGATCACTCTTCAAGGGACTGTTGTAGCTAGTCAGCAAACTAATGTGTAGATTTCAGGTCAAAGCCAGTTACTTCCCTGTTTAATTGAGCCAGGAGGAAGGATGAATAAACAAAAACTATGATACCGGCTGTTCTGATGAGTCCTTTGTTCAAGTTTTGTTTTCGTGTACATAAAAACTTGTTTGTTCCCCCCCAGATAGGGTTTTGTTGTAGTCTAGGCTGCCCTAGGATTTGCAAGTCTGTCTTGAACCCCTAATCCTTTCATTTGTCTTAAATTTTAGAATTATGAGACTTTGTCTTCTCACCTGGCTTTAAATTCATTAATTCACATTTTTCCTCTTTTTCTGCTCCTCTCCTCCCCTTTTCCCTTTCTTCCCCTCCCCCATCTCTCCCTTTCTCTCCATCCCTTCATCCTTCCCCGTCCATTTTCCTTTTTGAGACAGAATTGGAGGCCCAAACTCAGTATGGACTTACAGTTAACTTGTCTTCCTTAAATTCCCAAATGCTTGGATTATATTTGTGCACCACTGTGCCCCACATTTTTGGTTCTTGGCATGCACCTCTTCCAGCACACTGGGTTTCCTATATCTCTATCAAGCTGTGGAGCCAAAAATGACCTTGAACTTCTAATCTAACCTTTCAAATCCCTAGGACTCAGATTACAAGTACCACTATACCTGGCTTATGTAGTTAGTACTAGGATCAAACCCAGGGCTTCCTGCATGCTAGGTAAACACTGCCACTGAGGTGTATCCCCTCCTCCAGTTTTGGTCTTTTGCTAGTGTTTTGTTATGTTGACTGGAGCTTGGTGTGTCTACCAGGCTACACTGGAACTTGCTGTAATCATCATGCTTCTGTCTCCTGGTGTTCATAAGTTGTGGCAGCTGAACAGAGCAGTCTTACTGTGCTCTAGTGCTGCCGTAGCCTTGCAGTCGATGATACTTTTAGGAGGAAATGAAGACTTGCAACGTTTCAGTTTGCTCATTTAAACCCCTGCAAAAGCATGCGTGTCAAAGTTAACATTGATTGTGGGGAGGGATCTTACTCTATTGCTGTATTTTATTTGTCCTAAGAATGTATGGTTTTAAATAAAATATGGATGCTTTGTGTTAACTACATTTAGAAAGGAATGTACATTTTATATCTGAATATTAGTTATGGCGTTTCTACTCAATGATTTTGACTGTAAAAGTTGCAGCCTTTATTTGCTGTTAAAGAGATTTACTTTGGGTTCTAGATAGATGGCTCAGGCATAGTGTAGGCAAGACAGACTTGTTTAATCTCAGAGAACGAGAAAAGGTTTTGTTTTTTGTTTTTTTTTTTTTTTTTTTTTTTTTTTTTGGTTTTTCGAGACAGGGTTTCTCTGTGTAGTCCTGGCTCTCCTGGAACTCACTCTGTAGACCAGGCTAGCCTCGAACTCTCAAACTGAGAAATCTGCCTGCCTCTGCCTCCCAAGTGCTGGGATTAAAGGTGTGCACCACCACTGCCCGGCAAGAAAAGTTTTTGTTTTTTGTGTTTTGTTTTGTTTGGCTTTTTTTTGAGACAGAGTTTCTCTGTATAGCCCTGGGTGTCCTGGAACTCACTCTGTAGACCAGGCTGGCCTCGAACTCAGACTCAGAAATCCACCTGCCTCTGCCTCCCAAGTCCTGGGATTAAAGGTGTGCGCCACCACCACCTGGCTTAGAAAAGTATTGTAATGTGGTGAAATGAACAAAGAAAGAACTAGGGACGAAGCCACATACTCTATAAAGGCTAAGGGATTGGGCTGTGTTAGTGGCACACACCTTCAATCCCAGCACCTTCCAAGCCTGTGGATCTGTGTGAGCTAGAGTTCATGCTGATCTAGTTCCAGGTCAGCCAGTGCTGCATAGTAAGATCATTGAATGTAAGAGCTGGGAAGTGTGCAAATATAACTAAATAAAAGAAATAAAGTGGAAACTTTACTCAACAGTGTGCTCATTAAAGCCACCACCTGGAAAACCGAGGCAGGAAGATTGCTGTTGGTTTGAGAGCTGGCCTGGGCTAACGGATGAAACTTAAGTTTTTAGTTGTTAATTTTATTTTTCTTAGAAGAGGCTGGCAAAAAGCTCAATGGGAAAAGGCACCTGCTGCCAAACTTGAACTGAATTCCAACTCTGGGGCCCACATGTTGGAAGCAGTGAACTATTCTCCAAAGTTGTCCTCTGACCCCTTCATATGTGCAGTTTTTTAACTGAAACAGGAAAAGTTTAATCTTATATTCTTAGGCCATGTGTTTGCTTCCTTCAGGGAACAAGTGCAGAGCAGGATAATCGGTTCAGCAACAAACAGAAGAAACTGCTCAAGCAGCTGAAATTCGCAGAATGCCTAGAAAAAAAGGTATTCTGGGTAGACTATTGCAGTGGTTGCATTTTAAGGGTTGGGAGATGAATTGTTACTTTGGTGCAAAAAAAAAAGAAGTTCACAGTTTGTCACCCTTTAGCCACCACAAACACAGTACAAGCAAAGAATGAGCATGTTAGATAACATTTTAAAATGTGCCTAAGCTAAAGGAAACACTTAGACAAAGTAACTCAAGCTCTTAATGCAGTGGACTTGTACTTACCGTTTGCATGTTTTATCAGGTGGACATGAGCAAAGTAAATTTGGAGGTTATAAAGCCTTGGATAACAAAAAGAGTAACTGAGATCCTTGGATTCGAAGATGATGTTGTGATTGAGTTTATATTCAACCAGCTGGAAGTGAAGGTATAATATGCAGATGGCTCTTCTCAATATGTGACATGATTTGTGAATCTGTGGAAACTCAGGTTTTCTGTGGAATACAAATATAGAAGGGTTATTTTACAATGTTTGTTGTGAAAAGAATTCACTTTGTAAAACAACTGTTAAGGCTGGAAGTTTAGTGAAGGTGCATAGTTTTGAAAGCTACACAGGTGAAAAATCAAACTTATTGTTTGTAATTTTGCTGTTACATGTTAAGTTACTTTGACAGCAATTTTCTAATGATAATGTGATTTATGATTTAAAAGGCCTGAACCAAAATGGAAGTTATTCCTTGCGTCTGAAGTATAGCACCATCACCTTATTAGGTCACAGCAGAGTGAGTGTCCCAATGTCGCTCTGACCCAACTCCCTTGATGACGCAGTGTGTGTTTGGAGGTGAGTTGTGTAAAGTGGCCGAACATCAACAACAACAACAACAAAACACAAACAAGAGCAATCGGTAAAGCTGTGTACTGCTCTTAAGAGGCATTTGAGATGGACATTTATTTGAAGCATGAGGGGCGATTCTGATTTGATTGGATGTTACTTTTAAAAGAACTAAAGACTTTAGTTGTAGTTGCAAGTTAGCTGGTTACCAGTCAGAATTAAGACACAGGATTTTATTTACATTATAGTTAAAATTTCAGGCAGATGAATTGACAGTCCTATAAAAGCCAGTTAATGTAATTGTTCCTATCTTCCAATATGAAATAATACAAGATAATACAACTGATGTTGAAAATGATTTCTGTTATAACATAGTTTGCTATTTTGTCATGGCATCCCAAAGGACAGTAGCGATGTACCATAAAAACCGTTCGGTTATGCTGATGTGAATTTACTTTTACATTACTCCTCTTCCCGAGAGTTCATGCTTGAATTTTGACAGAACAGTTATCATTCCAAACGATAAGGTATTTCATTTTTAAAACAATGTGGTAATTATTTTGCTTTGAATGTTTTTAAGACTTAATTTTAAGAAAAGGCTTTATATTTAAGTATATTTATTTCATTTAGAAACCAGAAACATGGGAGAATGTTTTTTAAATGTTTAATAGTAAATTTTATTGGAGAAATGCTTTACTGATTTGAATTTTAGTGCACTTTAAAGCCTAAATACCTGGTAGTATTCCCCTTGTAGTGAGCATGAGATTAAAGTTTAGAGCTTTTTAAGCAATCTTTCCTTTTTGTGGTTGTGTACTCATTATTGCTTGTTCGTCTTTTGCAATTTAGATAAATGCTATAACATTAAACTCAAGGTGGTTGAGTTGCAGTAGGGAGTCGGAAGCAAGCCAAGGGACCATCTTTCTCTACAGGGGACTTGGCGATTCCAAACCCCCAAGGTTCCAAGAAGAAACTGAAGACACCTGGAATCTGTACTTGCTTTGTGCTATTGAGCTGTGCTTGTTATACGGACCTTGTTGCTTGACCAACAGAATCTAGTGTTTAAGAACCCAAGTTCCTTTTAGAAATCTTGAGTCTTAGTTTTGTGGACAGTTGAGCTTCTGTGGCATTGTTAGTAATAATAGGTTTTCATGTGCAGTAGTCAGGCTTCTAGCTTAGTCTTCAGATGTTACAGTATGCATGCATAACTTGTTAGTTCTTGTAACTGAGCACTAGATAGTAGATATTTTATAGAAAGTTACCTGTAGTGTAAAGAGAAGTAAATGTACATTTTCAATTTCTTGTTGGGGCAAGTTTTCCAGCCAAGCAAATATTGTTAGTAAATGCAAGAACGTATAGATGGTCCATGATTGTTTTTAAAATTGATAAATACATAAGGCCCACTAACAGCCATACACTCTAAAAACTTAGAAAGTCCACAGCTGCTGCTCTAATGCTTTTGGTTCAGTGAGGGAGAATTTGATTATCTAGAAATTATATTACCAAGAAGCAACTAGGGAAAACTATTTTTACAATAGTAGAGCATATATATATATATATGTACCTAAGCCCCTTATGGTAGACTTAAATACTAATTTAAATGAGTTTCAGATTGGTTGGTTGGTTTCCAAGTAACCTGGTTTTCTTCCTGTCATGTCTTTTCACAGAACCCAGATTCCAAAATGATGCAAATCAACCTGACTGGATTTTTGAATGGGAAGAATGCTAGAGAATTCATGGGAGAACTGTGGCCCCTGCTGTTAAGTGCACAAGAAAATATCGCTGGAATCCCTTCTGCTTTCCTAGAGTTGAAGAAGGAAGAGATAAAACAAAGACAAGTAATTCTTTTTGTATTGAGTTGAGAAGTACTCTGTGGAATAATGGTTTACCTTAAGGATTTTGTTTCCTTTGAGCTATTTTAACATCTGTGATCTGGCTAGGCTGCAGTTTGCTGGATGTGTTTGTATATTGAGTTATGGTTTACCACCCCTCATTTGAAAATTAGAGTGGCATTTTCCCAGAGGCCAGTGATGATTAGGCAGAGCACTTTTTTTTTTTCCAGTTCTTAAAATACAAGTGCATTTACCTTAAAAGAGTTTAAAGTATCTAAAAGTATGTGCATATTTCCACACAGGCAATAATTATAAAGTCACAAGGGAATGACTTTATATAAATGATAAGTAAAGTGATATAAATGGTATGAATTGTATAAAGGATAACTGAACGAGTGTTGTGAGAGTAAGGTTGAGAACATGGAACACCCCGTAGCCAGCCATGGCTGTGTGGGCTGCCTTGACGGAGTCTCTTAGCGCTCAACTGTATGCTTGCAGATTGAACAAGAAAAATTGGCATCTCTGAAAAAACAAGATGAAGATAAAGATAAGAGGGATAAGGATGAAAAAGAAAGCAGCAGAGAGAAGAGGGAGCGGTCTCGCAGCCCAAGAAGGTACGACAGAACAGGTGCAAGTACAGTGTGTTATAGGTGCCTTGGGTCCTCAGGGATGCTGTGGCAGAAGTTCCCCGGATAGAAGACCTGGGGAACATTACTGGAGATCTGCTCTTTGCTTCTTGGCTAAGGAGAGCTTTAATGTTGCTAGCATTTTGACACATGTTTTATACAGCTACCCAGGAGGTTGAGGCAATGGGGGTGTAGGGGTGGCTTCTAGGCCAGTCCAGGCAACGCTGTAATACTCTGTTCCAAAAACAAAAACAAACAAAAAAAAACCCAAGCAAATCCTTTGACCAAAATGATCACCTCTGTAACTTAGATGTAATTTTACTCATTCTTAAGTAGAGATTTGGGTTTCGTATTGCTTTACTTAAATAAAGCATTGGGATTTTTGTTGTTACTGTATTCTGATTATTTCCATTTCCCTTTTATTAAAAATCTGCTCGTTAGCATTCGTATACTTACCTAATTCCGTGTTCTGCTTTTCTTAGATGGTTGTACTGAACCCAAACTTCAGATCATTTATTTGTTTTCTTCTTTCTTCCAATGAGACTATTGTTAGGTTCACATTTTTAAATCCACGGTTCAGCTTCTGCTATATTTGTGGTGAAAGGTGAGAATTCCATTAGGCTTTTCATTTTTAGGACTTTTAAAAATAAATCTGGGGATTTATAAAGAAAAGAGGAGGTTTGTTTTTTTTGTTTTTGTTTTTTGGTTTTTTTTTCTTGGTTTTCTTTTTGATTTTTTCGAGACAGGGTTTCTCTGTGTAGACCTGGCTGTCCTGGAACTCACTCTGTAGACCAGGCCAGCCTCGAACTCTCGAACTCAGAAATCTGCCTGTCTCTGCCTCCCAAGTGCTGGGATTAAAGGCGTGAGCCACCACTGCCCGGCTAGGAGGTAATATTTTTGTTCTTTAGTTTGTGCTGAGTTGGAAAACTTCAGAAGCAGTGCCTCTACATCCGCCTTGCTGGTTAGCTTTACTACAGTTTTTAAAAAGCAATAAACACTTTTGGATTAGGCACACTACATCTTGAAAAGGAAGAAGGGGCTCCTGGCAGTAATAATTTGGCATTTTTCTTTTCTTGTGAAGAACATACTATTTACATTGCACCATTCGTTTTTCTGCATCTTAAGGCTCTGCCTGACCATCTCTGATACGAGCTCTGTACCTAATCCCTGTATATTGGTAGGGTTGATTTACTGTTCAGGAAATGGTTGCTTTAAATGCTTTCATCTGAGGCATTGGTCTTTGAATGATCACTGGGAATAGTTGAGAACCGTTGCCTCCAGCCCAACTCCGTGCCTCCCCTTCTAACTGGTACTTGAGGCTGTTACCTCTGTTTGCTTGTCCTTCTAGTTCTCTCTGGCCTTTTCCTTCTCAAGTAGATGAAATGGATATCTTGTTTCCATGTGAAACTTCTCAGATACAGACAACAGTGGGTAACTTAAAAGATTAATCCTTGATTTTCCCTTTGTCTACTCTAAAGCACATTATTAAAAAATCTGAAAACATTGCTTTCATCCTAGACGCAAATCCAGATCTCCTTCTCCTAGAAGACGATCTTCCCCTGTCAGGAGAGAGAGAAAGCGCAGTCACTCTCGATCTCCCCGTCACAGAACCAAGAGCCGGAGTCCTTCCCCTGCCCCAGAAAAGAAGGAGAAATCTCCGGAGCTCCCAGAACCATCAGTGAGAATGAAAGACTCTTCAGTACAGGAGGCCACATCTACGAGGCACGTTCCTAGCTCTGTTACATACTCTGTTAGGTACCACCTGCCAATGTGCATTGCTAGCTTCAAGGCAAAGGACTCGCTTTCCTTTTGGATATTTTCTCAAGTTTTTTAATATTACAAAGTTAGTGTTGAAAATGAAGCGTGTGTGTGTGTGTGTGTGTGTGTGTGTGTGTGTGTGTGTGTGTTAAGAATAAGGAAAATGTTCCAGAGGTGACCACCTGTCTGCCATATTATTTGAAAAAAATTTATAGATCGTAATTACTGATTTTCCTACCTGCTTGCCACAATATATTGTGGACAAACTCTTGTTTTCTTTTTGTAATAGGGGAGTATAACCCAGAGCTTTGCATATTCTTTGTCACTAACCTATATTCTGTATAACATCTTTACCCCCAAATGTAAAGAGATTTATTCACTTCTGTTAACTGGGGTACAAAATATTCCAAATAAAAGCTACTCCCTCCCTCCTCGGAGACCTGTGTCCCATGGCCACGCTCATCTTGAGCGTGCTGCCTTTGCCACATCCTACGTCTCATAGCTCACAAGGCCACACAGCATGCAGTCCACAACACTGCAGCCTCTGCAGCCGTGTGTACTGCTCAGAGCACCCACTCGTGGTGACTACAAACTGCTGTCCACAGATTGCCCTGCTGGTAGTCGAGCAGGTGAGGAGATCTATCTCAACTGGACATTGTGCCTGCAGGCCATTTGATCTAGTTAGCCTCTTTCCCCTCATGGCTCCAAAGGCTTTTTGGACTCATGCAGTTGACAGTGATACAGTTCTTATCTCACACGTGAAGGGGGAGGGGGTGTAAATTCTTAGCTGCTCAGTGAATTCTGATGTGTACTTATCTTTTGAAACCAAGAGGTATTTGCAGGGTTTCAAAACCTTTTTTGTTGGTGGTTTTTGGTTTGGTTTGGTGTTTTTTTGGTTTGGTTTGTTTTTTTGTTTATTTGGTTTGTTTGTTTGTTTTGGTTTTTCGAGACAGGGTTTCCAGGGTTTCTCTGTATAGCCCTGGCTGTCCTGGAACTCACTCTGTAGACCAGGCTAGCCTCGAATTTTGTTTTGTTTTTCAAGACGAAAACCTTTTTTTTTTTTAAATACACTGATCTCCATCTGTTCTTACTTTTGAATTTGTTAGTGGTGAGGGGTGGGTCATATTGTTGAGACTACAGCTTTATGAAGTTGGCACTCCTTTAATTTTCAATGTGGGGTTCCAAGGAGTTGAACAGAGGTGGTCAAGCTTGTACCGTAAATACTTTACTAAAGACATCCAGTATTGTTGAACTGGTTTGGAGTTCTGAGGAGAGTTGGGGAAAAAACAAACGCTCTTTTTTTCACAGTGACATCCTGAAAGCTCCCAAGCCTGAGCCTGTGCCAGAGCCCAAAGACCCGTCGCCAGAGAAAAACTCCAAAAAGGAAAAGGAAAAGACTCGTCCAAGGTCTCGATCACGTTCCAAATCACGGTCTCGGACCCGGTCTCGGTCTCCTTCTCATGCTAGACCAAGACGGCGACATCGATCCCGGTCAAGGTGTGTTGTTGCCCTGGGACTAGGGTACACGTGAAGTTGTATGTGCTGATTTTAAGGTAGCATTGCACACAGTGTCACAGTGATAGAAAACATTAAGGATTAAAGTCACTCTGCATTTATGTGAGGTTTACTTTGCCATGTGTCATAAAAATCTACGTGAGTGGAAGTGGTCATGGTGGGGGAAATTAGTGTCAAGATATTTTTTCTTCTTAGTTTATTTGGGGCCTAATTCTGTTTCTTAATGGCAGATCATATTCTCCTAGAAGGCGGCCAAGCCCAAGACGGCGACCTTCTCCCCGAAGAAGAACACCGCCAAGACGGATGCCTCCTCCACCAAGGCACAGGAGGAGTAGGTCTCCAGGGAGACGGTGAGACTCTCTTAGTGTCTGGTGCCTGGAGCTTAGGGGAATCATTGGTGTAATTTCAGGAGAAAATGTTTTTGTCTGCTGGAAGACAGAAATTATACCAGAGAGTGTCTTGGAAGCAGTTTGGTGCACTTGAAGTGCAATGGTGTAGCTATAAGAAACATCTTATGTTGGGAAAGAAATACTCTCTGATCTTCTAGACCCTGTGTTAGTGTTCTAAGATCTCACTGAAATTCTTCTATGGATAAGAACTAAGAACTAGCAGTGTACCTCAGTTGGTAAGATGCTTCCTGCGAATGCCTAAGGCCCTGCCCTCAGCCTATTCCCCATTACTGTACAGCTCAAGGATGGGGTTGCATACCTGTGATTTCAGCACACTGGAGGGAGAGGGAAAAGGCCCTGAAGGTCAGAGTCAGCCTCTTCATAGACTGTTTTACACGCACCCGCCCACCCCAAAACCAAAACTAGAACTGGCTACTTTTCTGTTGTTTTGTGTACAAGGGTTCTGTCTGCATTTATGTATCGTGTGTATCGGATGCTCCCAGAAGACAAGAGTGTGCTAGATCCCAGGAACTGGAGTTAGAGATGGTTGTGAGCTAGGAACTGAAGCTAGGTCTTCTGCAAAAGGAGAAGCTGCTCTTAACCCTTGAGCCATCCTTTCTGAGCTGCCTCCCTCCCATCCAACTTTTAACTTACTGCTGCTTTTGAAAGGCAGCTGGCTACAGAGTTAATGAGCTTATTTTATCAGTTTTAAGAACTTAACTTATTTTGCATGTGTATACACATGCAAACTCTTTGCCTGGAGGTCAGTGGGGTATTACTAGCCTGTTCTCTTTCTTTGGGTGGTTCTAGGAGATTGAGTTTGAGTCACCAGGCTTGCAGAGCAAGTACCTTTACAGTGTCTTTTTTCTTAAAGGATGTATTTTGAATTATGAAGGTGTGTGTCTGCATGTGTATGTGTGCTTGTGCGTGCTGGTGTCTGCAGAAGCCTTGAGCCCTTGGACCTGGAGTGATGCACAGTTGTAAGCCACCTGATGGTGCTGGGAACCAATGTCCTTTGGAGAGCCACTAATGCTTTAACTGCTAAGCCATCTCTGCCACACTCTGTAATGAAGTTTTTTGTAACAACTCAGACAGAGGAAACATAAAAAGAAAGTTCCTGTAATTCCTTTCCTAGATAGAGCCATTACTAGTAGCACAATAAGATATACTTAACTTTACCCAAAGTAGGGGCCTGGTGCACAGGAACAGAGTTTTTCTGCCTTATTGATGTGTTTCCTGGGCTTACTTTACAACTCTTGCTTTGGACAGAACAGCTCAGGGAAAAGCTGTTGAGTTAATGTTCTTTACAGTCAACCACACTAACTAGAAAATGGGAAAACATCCAGTAAGCTCCTTCAAGTTCTATCTTTGCAGGTAGGACTTTTAGATCCGTACTTTAATAGCAGCAATGACAGCAAATACCATTATTCCTTGGGATTGTTGTTGAGAGATCAGTGTTTAAGTGTGTAAAGTTGCTGTTGCAGCTGGTGGACAGGACAGACAGTGTGGAATTCCAGGCATCACACTTTGCAGATTGATCCTTCTGCTTCCGGAAGAAGTATTGCTGGTGCTCCCTTAGGGAGAGAAAGGCCTGTTTCTTCATTGGAGTTTGGCAAACAGCATGTCTCAGTAGTGCGCACTAAGCAATGTAGCAGTCACGGTATTTTGCAGATTGTGTAAGATTCCCTTTCAGCCAGTTTTTAATCTCACACTTAAGGTAGGGTTTCTTTTTTTCAGGTTCTCAGGAATTCTTCTGCCAAAGGTGAATTCTGCAGGTACACGTAATTGCAACAGAACTTAACCACAGATTTTGCTGCAGAATTCGAGAGGCCCCTACTTCTAAGTTTATGTAGCTAAATGAATTTCAAATCTTGCACATATATTTTAGTGAAACTTGAAAGCTGCTTGACATCACTCTGAATGAGCAATACTGTCTCAACCCAAAGTTGTGCAAACCCCATAACCCCAATATTACTCTTCAGAAAGAGGCTGCTTGGTTACTGGATTAGAGCATTCATAGCTCAAACACAATCAGGAGTTATATGTATTTACTCTCAGAAATGGCTGTTTCCTGTCCTAGGCTATGGCTTTGTTTCCAATCTTTTTGAAGTAATTTATGTACTTAGCTACATAAACTCAAAAGTTGGATTAAAGAAATAGCTGTGTTTCTGTGCATATTGTACATACTGTGAAGTCACTCTTTGGAGGGATGCGAGTAGTGAAGTGAATGCTTATTCCACAGGAGGAGGCGTTCTTCCGCATCACTGTCTGGAAGTAGCTCGTCGTCCTCTTCATCTCGTTCCCGGTCACCGCCAAAGAAGCCTCCCAAGAGGACATCCAGCCCTCCTCGGAAAACGCGTAGGTTATCACCTTCGGCAAGTCCTCCCCGGCGAAGGCACCGGCCGTCATCTCCAGCAACTCCACCTCCTAAAACTCGCCATTCCCCAACTCCCCAGCAGTCAAATCGTACAAGAAAAAGTCGTGTTTCTGTGTCTCCAGGAAGAACTTCGGGTAAAGGTACAAACACAAAGAAATTTGTTCCCTTTGCCATCTGGGTGAACCCAGTTGAACCCAGTTGTCCCTACCCTCTTTCAGAGGCAGCTGGACAGTACTTTCGGTGTGACACTGGATTGGCTTGGCTTGCTTTTTCTTTCCCTGCTTTCTGTTCTGGCCTTGGCTGAAATGGGAAGATATGTAAAGGTGGTGTGTGTTCTCAGTGTCCTCTGCGCAGGTGGCACAGATCGCTAGCCCCAGGCTGTTGGAGTTGGAGTAAGGAAGCGAGCTTGCGTCTTACTGTAAAGGGTCAGTTTATTGAGACCAGTTAACTATTTTCCACTCTCCCTCCCCACACCTCTTCTTAAGACTTTTTGTTTGATATCTTATTTACAGACTTTGTGTTCTGTTGTTATTTTTTGGTCATAATTATGCATCCAAGGGAAGGACGACATGGTGTCCCCTTAAAGGTTGATTTGTTATATTTATTGATTGATTTATGGATTTAGGCTCTTAAGATGGTGTCCCTACTTTGATCAGTAGATTGGCTTCTGAGGAATTGGAGGCTTGTGATTGTGCCAGCTAAGTAGAGTGTTAGTCCATGTGAAAACTGTGCTTTACTGGGGTTTGCTTTAGCACTAAGCACACATGAAGAAAAAGGATATGATCCATTCCGGTGGTGCCTTTGGTGCTAGGGCTTTAGAGGTGAGTGGAGGGGGTGAGGTGAGAGGATTGGGATTTTAGAGAGTGGTGTTGGGACCCCATTGACTGACCAAGTACCTGGATAACCAGGGAACACCACGAGGCCTAGCAAGGCTGTGCGTTCTAAACCTGTTACACTGAGGGACATCTGTGGGAAAAGAACCTGCTAAAAATGGCAAGCCATAAAAAGTAACATACAAATCATATTTAACTTTGACATCAAATTCATTCAGTAACCAAATGTGTGATATTTAAGACAGCTATTTTTTAGCATACATTATATGAATTTTATATAAAAGTGAGCACGTTTCAGCCTCTCGGGGTGCCTCACTGTCTTAACTCTGAAGACTCACTGCTCCAGATTACTTGTTGTTCCCTGTGAACTTTACATACAGAAATAGTTCTTGTGTTTAGAGCTAGAAAGCTCTCTGGATGAGAAAAAAAAACACACAATTATTTTGGAAAAATACATTTTTCACTTCGATTATATAGAAGTTATTTTAAACTACCTGGACAAAAGGAGTTAACTGTTAGAATAGGGCCATTGTTGGAACTTATTAGTTACCATTTTATGAGTCTGCACGGGTGCCAGGCTCCTACTTTGACACATGCTTTGTACACATGTAATAGATAACTGCATTCAAGAGACATCTGTTGTGGGGAACAGAGGTCTGTTGTGTGTTCTTGTGGGCTCAAGGACCAGCTTCTTTAGCCAGGCAGTTGCACCGTGGGCAGGTTAGTCTGCTTTATGTCCACTGAAGCTCAAAATGGTTTGAACTATGTGGAAGTGACCTTAGTGTTGAAATTTGAGAGCTAGAAAAGAAAAGACCTTACCAATTGTCAGGTTCTTTGGTTAAGTGACTTAGCCAAGGTTAGTTAGTAAAAGAGTTCAAGCATTCACTCCCAGTTAGGCAGTGAGAATTGCCAAATTGCTGCCTCCGATGACTAGGGAGGAAGATGAAGGATGGAGTGAAAAAGTTCTTGGGCTTCTTTAATAGGTACTGCAATCAGAAATGCCCATGGTGGGGTCTCTGGATACTTAGTACTGTGGCACTACTGTAATGTAATAGAATTCCTGATTGTGTTTCTTATAGCAGATGTTAGTTGGCCATCTTAGGATCTGTTGTTGATAATGGGCCAGTGAACTAGGAGTAAGGAAAGAAAAGCGGGGGGTTGGGGGGGTTGGAAGGCAGTCATTGAGTGCAGTTTACAGTCCCATTTGAGGGTGTCTTGGAGGAACTTTGAATCAGTCATGGTCTGGGTGCTGCGTGAACTTGTTCTGAGTCGAGTGTCCTGTCACAGCTTGTCCTTTTTTAGAATAGCTAAGTCGTGCTCTGCGGATGCTCATGTAGTTCCCTATTTGTGGATATAGTAACTTGACTTCACAAGTTATCTGTTGGGCAATCTGAGATTAATAATTAATAAGACTGTTGAAATGCTTTAAAATTCTGGTTTTAGAGTTGATCTCTTGTTCTGACTTCATGCTAGAACGATTTGTTCTTTGAAGTACTATACTATTAACATAACAGTAAGTAAAAGGAAAAAATAGTGTTTAGAAAAATACAGAAACATGTTACTTGTAGTGCTTTAAGAGTGAAAGGGTAAAGCGTATGCTATAAACAGTGTTAAAGACTTAATGAGACATTAAGTCAGAGTGAACCCTCCCATGTGTTTATTCACACTGTGTAACAAATATGTGATGTTGGCTCCGTGTGATGGTGCACCCCACCCCTAACCCTGAAACAATTTCTCTGTGTAGCCCTGGCTGTCCTGGAACTCTATAGACTAGACTGGCTTAGAGATCCACCTGCCTCTGCGTCTGCCTCCACCTCCCAAATACTGGGATTACAAAGGTGTGCTCCACTACCATCAGGTGAGGGTGTTATTCTTTAATTCTGACATTACATAGCCAGTTTGAGGCCAGATCTTTTCTCAAGATACATAAAAGGAGTGTTAATTTAGTTATTCAGTAGAGTTTGGTTTTGATTTTCATTCTATAAAGTCTTTTTATGTAATCTAGACTGGCAGTCCTGTTTCAGCCTCCTATATGTTGGGATTTTTTAAAAATTACATATGCTCTATGGTGGGGTATATGTACACACTATGCAGGTGTCTACGGGGCAGAAGAAGCAGCCACTGTGGAGCTGGATTTGCAGGTGACTGAGCTATTCGTGCAGGTGCTGCAAACCAAACGAAATCTTCTGTAAGAGCAGCGAGTGCCCATGACCTCAGAGCATCACTCCAGCTCACTACTTTATGAATTTTAGAGCTTCAGATGTTAAACATTCTCTGTCCAATTCAATAGTTTGTCCAAATAACTTTAGTACATGGAATCATTAACCACAACAATGTAGCTCAGAGATAAAGGGCTTGCTGTAAGGTTACAACACTAATTTCCTCTTTGATTACTTTAGCAAAGATGAGGTTGAAGTGTTAGATCCATTCTCATGGCTACATCCTGGTAGCCTTTGACAGGGTTTATAGTATTAAATAAAGTATAACCCTATTTTGTCAAACAGTTTACCAAAATTTATTAGTCATAGAAAATAAGTAAGCGTCTCAAGGGTTTCTTTCTTAGATGGGCTTTTGAAGTCGATACATGGTAAAAATAATGATTATATTTTATATACTTGATTTCGATTTAGTTTATTATGCTCATGAGGATTTGTCTGCATATCTCTGAGAGCACCACATGTGTGCCTGGTGTTCACAGTTCAGGAGACCTCAGATCCCCTGGAAGCAGGGTTAAAGATAATTGAAGGCTGCTGTGTGGGTGCTAGGAACTGAACCCAAGTCCTGCAAATGTAGCAAATGCTTTAACCGTCTGAACAGCCCCATGGACGCTCCTAGGAGAGAATAGCTGTGAGATTAGTGCCCTAAACACAGAGTCTGGACACCTATTGTCAGTTTGTTCAGTTGTCTCTGTGTTTCTCATTGGTTTTTTTGTTTGTTTGTTTGTTTTGTTTTGTTTTTTTCGAGACAGGGTTTCTCTGTGTAGCCCTGGCTGTCCTGGAACTCACTCTGTAGACCAGGCTGGCCTCGAACTCAGAAACCTGCCTGCCTCTGCCTCCCAAGTGCTGGGATTAAAGGCGTGCACCACCACTGCCCGGCTATGTCTCTTGTGTTTCTCAGTGTAGTGTTGTAATTTTATTTTAGGCTTCCAAAGAACTGTAAAATGGGATATAAGAGTGAATAGCATCTTGTTTTAGCAGCAGTGTTTAGTAGTGTATATATCTGGGTTTAGTGGTTCATGCGTGTGATCCTGGTTCTCTGGAGTTTGAGGCAGAAGGATCACGGTAAACTTGAGGCCAGTCAGGACTAGGTAGTTAGACCTGACTCAAAACAAAACCCCACGTATATATGTCACAGGAAGTTTTCTAAAGAAGTACCATAATTTTCCAGTTAATACAAGGTCGTTGGGTGGTTCATTCTCTCTCACCAGAGTGATTCTAGTTTAGAAAACAGTCTTCCTTTCCTCCCCCGGGAGCTTAAATCCAGAGTCTGGGCGTCTTATGGTGTACAAGCACTTTTGAGGTACAGCCCCAACCCCTTCCTTTCTCTCAGCCTTTAGAAAGAACCCCTCATTCACTCTTAGTCTTTAAAAATTGTTTAAATCTCCTGGGTGTGATGAGGATTTTGTGTGGTATAAGGAGCCGTTGGCCTGCGGGTTAGATAGCCAAATATTCTTTTCTAGACTAAGTACCCTTTCCTGTGTGAATTTTAGTTTCAAAAGCAGAGCAGGTGTAGGTTCATTAAGGTAAATTGGTAAGACTCCTGGCAGTGGGAGGGGCTGTAAGGGAGGAGTACCCTCACTGTCTTTCTTTTTTGCCTGGTGGCTGGGATCACACTAAGGTGTCTTACCAAACAAGTGCTCTGGTGCTGAGCATCATCCCGACCCCCTAGTGCTCCACTCACTGAGACTTCCTAGCTTCTCCGGTAGGTTCTCTTGGGAAAAGCTCAAGATTTGAAACTGGTTACCCAAGGTTTTTTAAATTATTACTGTTATTTTATGTGTATGAGTTGTGCATGTGTGCAAACATGCATGTTCCCATGTCTGGTATGCATGTATACCATCAGGGCAAAAAAAAATTTTTTAATGTACAAGTGGGGGTGAGGCATGTGCAGTTGATTGTAAGTGCTCTAGGAGGCCAGAGGCATAAGATGCCATGGGACAGATGTCACCTGTGTTTGTGAGCCACCAGTGTGGTGCTGGGAGCCAAACTCATCTCCTACAAGAGCAGAGGCCACTGAACCAGGCCTCCAGTCCCTAGAGGGCAACTTAATTGTTTGTGTTTTTGAGTGTTGATTCTTCTCTTCTACCTTGTTGATGAGGCAGGGTCTCCCTGCCCTCTGCTGTTATGGTGTGTATTCCACGCTAGGTGGCCCACAAACTTTCAGGTCAGTTCCGCATCCTCACCTCCCACCATGCTGTTGGAGTACTGGGTACAAGTATGTACCGCTGCTTCCAGATGTTTTTATTGCATGGGCCGTAAAGAGTGGTGCAGGGTTCTTCCTAGCCCCGTAGAACTAGTTTTTGAAGCTTTCCATGTTTAAATTTTAGGTAAAATTTTTCATGTGAAGAGTCTGACCCATTCTTGTACTGTTAAAACAATGTTCTTTTTATTGTGTGAGTTTTTTTTTTCTTCTTCTTTGCTTTATTTTTAGTGACAAAACATAAAGGTACTGAGAAAAGAGAGTCACCTTCTCCAGCACCCAAGCCTAGAAAAGTGGAGTTGTCTGAGTCTGGTAAGTTGTAATGATTTTCTAGAGATTGGGTTTTTATTTTTCCTACCATATGTGATTATTCCCTGGGGTTGGAGATTCATTGGCACCACAGCAGGGAAGAGCTGAAAGTGACGTCACCCAGACTCTGAGGTTGCCAGCTCCAGCATTTTAGTGTGCTCTGTTTGGTTATTTCGTTCATCTGAACCTCATTCTTTTTCTTCTGTATTTGGACATAATTTTGGGTTTTGACATCTAGCTGGGATGTTTGCAGAATTTGTGTCTCCCTGACTGACCTGTAGTAGCTGAGCTGTGTGCCTGTTGTGTTCTGTCATGTCACATTACCTGTGTGTAACTAAAGAAACACTTTCTAAACACATCCATCTTTCAGAAGAAGACAAAGGCAGCAAAATGGCCGCTGCTGATTCTGTGCAGCAGAGGCGGCAGTACAGGCGACAGAACCAGCAGTCTTCATCTGGTATGGATAACAAGCAAATCCTCTTCACTCTCACACCTGTGGTAACCCCAGCACTGGGAGGCTGAGGCAGGAGAGTTCCTGTAGAGTATGAGGCCAGTATGGGCTACATAGTGAGAGTCCCCAGAACAGCAAACCTGTAATACTATCGTTCAGAAGGTGGAGGCAGGAAGTTCAGAAAATCTGAGAAAAGCTACATAAAACCCTAGGTTCCCCCTCCTCCCCTTTTAAAATTTTATGCGTTTTCATATTTTACTTGCATGCATGTCTTCACCATGTTTATGTCTGGTCCCCAAGGAGACCAGAAGACAGGGCATCAGATCCAGTGAGAATCTGGGATTATAGACCTTATGAGCCACGGTGTGGGTACTGGGAATTGAACTGGGACTTCTGGAAGAACAGCCAACTCCTTTAACTACTGAGGGTCTGAGTCTTTGCCTTCCTTCCTGGGTTGTGTTTGGGCCATAGGTCTTAGTTGGGCACTGGGTATCTCTTTCTTGTTTTAAGCCCTTAAGTCTTCCTTTTAAATTGCTGTATTGTTAGGAAGGCATAAATCTGGCTAGGAGTGTATGGCTTTGTACAGCTTTATTCCCAACATTATTAAATATAAGGTAATTGGACCTAAGTGATGGTAGCACACACCTTTGATCCTACCACTTGGGAGACAAAGGCAGGCGGATCTCTTGAGTTTGAGCCCATCCTAGTCTACAGAGCGAGTTCCAGGACAGCCAAGGCTACACAGAAAAACCCTGCCTCAAACAGACAAAACAAAGGGTAATTGACCTAGAGTACAATACTAAAGCAGAAAATAAAATTGAAAGACTAATCTATTCCCCAGTATTTGAGTGTACTCTTAAGCGTTTCTGCAGGTTTGTTCTATATAAGTAGGAGTCTGTGGTTTAGAAGATCATACTAGTTATTATGAATCTCCTTCATTTATTACTAATAGCTATGTGGATGTTTTTATTTTTGTTTGGCCTTACTATGTAGTTGTGGCTAGCCTAGAACTCACTATAGGTCTTATTGTTAGATGAAAAAGAAAGGGTACAGAAGCCTAATGTTTAAGCCCAAGGCTCTCTGTTCTTGTGTTACTTATTTGGGTTTTGTGTGGATTTGGTTTGGTTTGGGGGTTTTAAGAAAGGGTCCCATGTAGCCCAGTCTTGCCTTGAACTTGCTGTGTACGCAAAAATGACTTTATACTTGTAGTCTTTTTGACTTCACCTCTTAAGTGTTGAGAGTCCAGCATTGCACTGCTGTACCTGGCTTATGCAGTACTGGGGGTGGATTCCCAGGGTCTCTCTCATGTGTGCTTAAAGCAAGCTCTCTACTGACAGCTACATCCCTGTCCCTCAGTTATACTTGTGATTATTATAGTAGTAACTCAGGGCCTTCTCATGCCAGCCATATGCTTTAAGCTGAACTACACTGTCAGCCCTTAGACTCTTTTGAAGCCTTGCTTTGTTAATTGGGAAAATTTCACTAGAGTTTTGTTTTATTTTGTTGCTGAGGCTGATGTTAAACTCAGATCCTCCTTCCTCCACCTCCTTGTTATCAGATATGCACATGCACCACCAACTCCCTGGATTTCTTTCCCAACAGGTCCATGCAGACCTCAGTACTCTTGAGATATACTACTCGTCTCATGTTTGCTGGTTTTCTGTTGGGTGTGAGCTGTTGACTGTCACTAAAATTATACTGATTAGATTGTCCTGATGGTACTGAGAATTGAATCCATGGCTTCATGCCATACTAGGTAAAATGCTACGTCATTGAGTCTTAACCTCTAAGTGACATTTTCCCCAGTGCTGAGTGTAGAACCCAGGACCTTGAGCATGCAGTGTAAGGGGTACAGGGGTACAGGGGCCAGAGAGAGTGGCGGGGGAGGGAGGGAGGGGGGAGTGAGTGTGTGTGTGTGTGTGTGTGTGTGTGTGTGTGTGTGATATTTTGTTGTTGTTCTTTGCTCTGTGATTACAGACTCTGGCTCCTCTTCCACCTCAGAAGATGAGCGGCCCAAGAGATCCCATGTGAAGAATGGTGAGGTAGGCAGGCGGCGGAGACATTCCCCTTCTCGGAGTGCCTCTCCATCACCTCGAAAGCGCCAAAAAGAGACTTCCCCTCGGTAACAGTCTTCATTAATGGTTTTGACTGATCTGTGGTCGGGTTGAAACTGTAATTTATAGCTTGGGCCCCAAAATTATTTTAGATTCTTAATGGGCAGATTCTTCATGTCAAAACATAGAGGCGATGGTTGGGTTTGGGCTTCTGGTTAGTTTGGTTTTTCTTGCTGTTGGTAGTTAACATTAAAACTAGGCAAGTTTTGAGTGACTGCCTTATTTATGCATGAATGGAGGAATTAAATCGTAGCATTAATTCCAGACATTTTGAAGCTTTAAAAACTCCCACAAGAAGGATTTAACTTGCACGAGTGGAATCTTGACATTTGTTTTTCTCCACTGCTCTCAGGATGCAGATGGGAAAGCGATGGCAGTCGCCAGTCACTAAAAGGTTGGTTAGACACTGTTTGCAAACTAGGGTTACACACCAAGTTTACTTAGCTTTCTGTTGTGGTGACTGTCCCCATTTTACAGACACATTATGTCAGTGGAGAAAATTGCTTTGGTGTGTGTTTGTGTTTTTACCATGTCAGATGGATGATACACAGAGCTACGTGAGGAGTGACTTTAGATCCTTTTCTAATCTGCTCATTCCAGGTCCTTAGACTCAGTGGGGAGTAACATGTTTATAAAGTTTTCGTTGTATTTTTATTTGTCATGGATATGTGTGAGTGCACACATGCCACAGTGCACCTCTTGGAGGTCAGAGGACACTTGCAGGAACTGGTTCTCTGTGTTCACATGTGGGTCCTGAGAATCAAACTTGCTCAGTGGCAAGTGCCTTTATCTGCTGAGCTTATCATCTCTGGCTTTCTCCCTCTACCCCCATTTGTTGGATCTTTGCGGTTTTGAGACAGGGTTTTTCTTTTTTCTTTTTTTTTCTTTTTCTTTTTTTTTTGGTTTGGTTTTTTGGTTTTTCGAGACAGGGTTTCTCTGTGTAGCCCTGGCTGTCCTGGAACTCACTTTGTAGACCAGGCAGCCCTCGAACTCAGAAATCCGCCTGCCTCTGCCTCCCAAGTGCTGGGATTAAAGGCGTGCACCACCACTGCCCGGCAAGACAGGGTTTTTCATGTGTGGTCCTGGCTGTCCTGGAAATTACTGTGTAGATCACGCTGCCTTCAAACACAGAGATCCACCTACCTCTGTCTTCTGGGTGCTGGGATTAAAGGTTTGTGCCATCATCATCTGGCTCAGTGACATATATTAGGGAGGGTAAAATTAGGTATAATACTATTTATGTAAAGAGTTAATATGAAGTACCTACTAATTTGACATCACCAGCAAACCTAAATCCAGTCTGGTGGGAAAGTAAATGTAGTAGTGAACTCTGAGGAGTCACGGCCTGTTACTCTTTAGAAACGGAGCCAGGCTCACAGTGTCAGCCCTGGCTGAGCGAGGAGCCAGGACTATTTACATTGACTTCTTTTTTTCTCATTGTGTGTCAAGGGTGACAAACTGGCTTAACTTTCATTTAAGTCTTTGTGAGGTTGCTTCTAGTTTGTTGATGTACAGTACTTGGTATGTGAATTGTGTTACAGGTTTATTGTAGAATTACCCCAGCATGGCTCTAGTACTTAAGACAGCTTTGTGGTTTAGAGTATTGGCAGGTGTGACATCCAGTCCCTTTTCGGTGGTGGGGATATATTTCTTAGAGATGAGACCATAAAGGTTGGAGATACAGCTCTGAGATAGAGCATTCACCTAGCGTGTGCAGTCCCTCTGTTCTGCCCTCAGTCTCTGTGCTGCAGAGGAGGGGCAGCTCTAAGTCAGGGCTTCCAGATTTGGGTCTTAAAACATTTGGTGTCTGTTAACATTAAAATGTTTCTGAAAGAATCAAAGTCAACTGGAAAGCCTTTTCAAAGCACAGCTTGGCTGAACTTAGCCCTGACGTGGTTCACATAGTCTCAGATAAGTTTCCCAACTGATTATTATGTGTAGCCCAACTAAAAATAAGTGTTCTGGTGACAGTTTTGCGTTTCTTCTCTTTCTCTGTTGAGTAGTTTATGTCATAACCAAATATGTAATTTTGTCTGAAACTAACATCACAAAACTGTCTTTTACTCATACCAAAAGCAAAACATAAATAATGTTCCTGCTCTGGATTAGTTAACCACTGGAAATATGCTTCCTTGGGGGGGCTTAAATTGTAAGTGTCACTGACTTGAGGATAACTCTGGTTTCTTGTTTAGTAGTAGAAGGAGGAGAAGTCCCTCCCCACCTCCTGCCAGAAGGCGACGATCTCCTTCTCCAGCCCCTCCTCCTCCTCCCCCACCTCCTCCTCGGCGGCGCAGGTCTCCCACCCCACCACCTCGACGAAGGTACTGTGTCCAGTTGACTCGTGGTAACTCTGAGTCTTTATCATGGAAGTTGCTTCATAAGAGACATTGCATCTCTGGTTGTAAAAGGTCACATAAATGTGAGCTCCTTTATGGGACACAGAAATCTGTAGAAACAGAAAATAGGGCAGGGATGATGCCAGCTTCTAATCCCAGTACTCAGGAAGCAGAGGCAGGCAGATCTTTGAATTCAAGTCCATTCTGGTGTACAGAGGGAGTTCAAGCTCGGAAGGAAGGAAAGGGAGGGAGGGAAGGAGGGAGGAAACGAAAAAAGAAAATGGGAGCCACGTGTATTTGCTCAGAATCTAAGCTCTCGAAAGGCTGAGGCAGGGAGATTTTGAGTTGGAGGTCAGCCTGGGTTATAGACACTAAACCCTGCCCAACAAACAAATGGGAGAAGTAAGTAGATGAGTATCTAGGGTGAGGGGGAATGTCCAAACCATCCCATTGTGCACATTAACCATTGCACTGACCCGTTGGCATTGTGTGCATCACAAAAGCCTTGATGCTCCTACCAATTACGTAGGACCCTATTCTGACAAGTGCTAGCAGTTCCAATCAAAAGGATATTCCATGAAGGGAGAGGTTAGAACTCTTCAGAAAATGTCAGCCATGTGCTATGTGTATCAGCACACAGTTGTAGCCTAAATTATATCGCGAGTTCCAGGTCAGCTGATGTGTTTTATGTGTGTGGGTGAATCCATAGCAAGCACTCACTGTAGAATGAGCCTTTTGTTTCAGTTCTTGTTTAATAAGATCTTAGTATATATAGCAGTCTGGCCTCAAATTTAAGGCTGTCTCAGATACTGGGATCAAAAATTGGATCCACTGTGCCTGCCAGAGTTATTAGATAATTACCTAGTTCTATTTTACCACTTAGCCTGAAGATTGGCTTGTTGTAAACCCAGATCTGAGCAGAATTTTTTGTTGAAAATCCAAACACAAATTGTACAATTTCCCTAAATGTTGTATTATGTTGTCATTCCTATAGAACATAACGAGGTTTTGTCACCCTGAACAGAAAAACCAGATAGGGGTTTTAGAAATGTCTTTGCCTGACACTGAACTTACACTAAATGTGGTCCTTTGAGACAAAGTGAAGACTGGGCAATCTGTTGAAAGCTTTCTCAGTCAACTAGGAGGCTAGCTCAAAGGAGACAACATCACATAAAAGCTTAGTTTGTTTTGTGTGTAGAGTGTTTTGTCTGCATGTGGATGTGCACTGTGTGCACCATGGAAGCCGGAAAATGGCATTGGACCTCCCTTACGTGTGAGTTAGAGCCTTTTGTGAGCTACCACGTGGTGCTCAGTACCAGAGCCAGCTCCTCCACAGGTCAGCAGACGCTCTCGGGAGTTGAGCCATATAGACGCAATGGCAGCACATATGTTTAATTCCAGGCATGTCGATCTCTCTGAGGTTGAGGCCAGTCTTGTCTACAGAGCAAGATCCAGGACAGCCAGGGCTACACAGAGAAACTCTTGTTTCAAAAAAAAAAAAAAAACACCAAAAAGAGAGGTTGGGGGGGCAGTCTCTCTAGCTCCTGTCACAGAGAACTCTGTAAAGCAGACTTTTTGAGTTGTTAACAACTGGCAACAGCTGATGATCACAGTTACTACAACACAGTGTGAGGTTCTCTTCTGAAACACTACTTTGTTTTATATAATTATATGAATTGTCTTGGATTGATGGATTTAAATTGTTTCTGAAATTTGCAACTTTCTCCATTAAACACAGCACAGTCTGTCAGTCATGGTGTTATGTGTGTTACCTTGAAATATGTCTCCTGTCATAGTACTAGCTACAGGACAGTTATGACTAGTTCTTTCTTTTTAATTAATTTTCCTGGTTCTGGATTGGCTAGCAAGATAGTTCAGTGGGTGAAAGTGCTTGCCGTAAAACTACAGTGACCTAAGTTTGATTCCAGAGTCTACATAAAGGTGGGTAGAGAGGATCGGTTGCACAAAGATGTCCAGCTTGGACTTACGTGATGTGTGTTCGTGCACAAGCTAATAGGAATAACAGGGTTTGATTTTGGGATGGGGGTTCTGTCCACTTCATCTTAATGGTGCATTGTTTTTTTTCTAGGACCCCGTCTCCTCCCCCACGCCGCCGCTCACCATCTCCAAGAAGATACTCTCCTCCCATCCAGAGGAGATACTCTCCTTCCCCACCTCCAAAGAGGAGAACCGCCTCGCCCCCGCCCCCACCCAAGCGAAGGGCATCACCATCTCCACCACCAAAGCGCCGGGTCTCTCACTCCCCACCTCCTAAACAAAGAAGCCCCCCAGTCACCAAGAGACGCTCTCCCTCTTTGTCTTCAAAGCATAGGAAAGGGTCTTCCCCAGGCCGTTCCACACGGGAGGCCCGGTCACCACAACCAAACAAAAGGCATTCGCCCTCACCACGGCCTCGAGCTCCTCAGACCTCAAGCCCTCCCCCTGCTCGAAGAGGAGCTTCAGCGTCGCCCCAAGGAAGACAGTCCCCGTCTCCAAGTACTAGGCCTATTAGGAGAGTCTCCAGGACTCCGGAGCCCAAAAAGATAAAAAAGTAAAAATGCCTGATGCTTTTTTGTTGTTGTTAGGAATACGTAGTTGTATAACATGTAGAATCTTTTCTCTTGTTAAACAGAAATAATATGCAATAATATGGTAGTGGCACACTTAATCTTAGCACTAGGGAGGCAGAGAGAGCAGCAGATATCTGAGTTCAAGGCCAGCCATGGCTACACAGAGAAACCCTGTCTCAAAAAGCCAATAATAATAATCAAACTTTAGGTACTATTCACATTTTCTTACTTTGGACCTAGCTTCTTGTAGCATAAATTACAGAGGGCTTTACTTGGTTCTTAGCATCAGGTATTTGAGAGATGTTTCTGAGTCTCAGGTGAAATGGGCTTCCTTTTTTTCTCTTTATTATTTTATGTAAATGGGTATTTTGCCTGTGTGTATATCTGTATACTTCTTGTGGGCGGTGTCACAGAGGCCAAAGCAAGTGTCAGTTCCCTTGAAATGATAGTTGTAGTTAACCGAGCCATCTCTCCAGCCCCTGACAAGCGCATGAGACTGCTACAGAGCAAGCTTTAGGAAACTAAGGAGCTGATGTCACTAGTGTGCTACTGGATGGCCCGTAGTGTCGTCAGGAAAGTGTCAGAGTTATAGGGCGTGAGTGACCCTGGAGAAGACTTGGGTGACAGAAGGCTTAAAGTGTGTGTCCTCCTTGGGGTGTCTGTTCTCAGCTGTGCCTTTTTTCCCTCTGTCTAGGGCTGCATCACCAAGCCCTCAGTCCGTAAGAAGGGTTTCCTCTTCCAGATCTGTCTCTGGATCTCCTGAGCCAACGGCTAAAAAGCCTCCAGCACCTCCCTCTCCTGTGCAGTCTCAGTCACCCTCCACAAACTGGTCACCTGCAGTACCAGCCAAAAAGGCTAAAAGCCCAACACCAAGCCCGTCCCCTGCCAGGGTAAGTACCTACTTGGTTTTCAACCTCTTTTATAAATTAGTCAGCTGGGGATGGTGGCAGGTACTTAACACAATCCCAGGTCTCAGTGGGCAGAAGCAGGGTCAGGTGTTAAAGACAAGCCTCAGCCTTGGGCTTGTGAATACCTCATAAAAACCAGTTTGTAGGTGAAATTTTAAATTTTTTTTTTTTGGGGGGGGAGTTCGAGACAGGGTTTCTCTGTGTAGCCCTGGCTGTCCTGGAACTCACTCTGTAGACCAGGCTGGCCTCAAACTCAGAAATCCGTCTACCTCTGCCTCCCAAGCACTGGGATTAAAGGCATGTGCAACCACCGCCTGGCATGAAATTTTTAAAAAAGTAGAAATTTAAAAACCAGTGTTGGGCTGGAGAGATGGCTCAGTGGTTAAGAGCACTGCCTGCACTTCCCGAGGTCCTGAGTTCAAATCCCAGCAACCACATGGTGGCTCACAACCATCTGTAATGAGATCTGGTGCCCTCTTGTGGGGTGTCTGAAGACAGCTACAGTGTATTCATATATAATAAATAAATAAATCTTTAAAAAAAAAAAGTTTAAAAAAAAAAAAAAAAAAAAACCAGTGTTGTGGCATATGCCTTTAATCCTAAGCATTCTGGAGGCAGAAGCAGGCTTAGTTCAAGGCTACCCTGGGCTATACAGTCTCAAAACAATAAAATTACAAGTTAGATTCAGCTAAAATAATTTATATAAATTTAGTATAAAGACAGTATCTAGTGTATCGTGGTTCAGTTAAATCTACGAAAGTGATTAATGGCTGGGCAGTGGTGGCGCACGCCTTTAATCCCAGCACTTGGGAGGCAGAGGCAGGCGGATTTCTGAGTTCGAGGCCAGCCTGGTCTACAGAGTGAGTTCCAGGACAGCCAGGGCTACACAGAGAAACCCTGTCTCGAAAAACCAAAAAAAAAAAGAAAGAAAGAAAGTGAGTAATTAATGTTCAATAGAAACTGTCCTTTGAACTGGGATTTGAGTCTCTTTTCTAGTCTATTGGAGCAAAACCTGCTGCGCATACTCATTGAATGGCATTGGCCAGTCAGCAGTACCACAGTTGGCTTCTGTTGTAGATGACTTTGCTTGGCTGTAGGTCATTTGTCTTTGGAGCGTGCTGGTGGCAGTTTGACTGACCCATGGTGTTCAGTAGATGCAGAGATAGGTTTGAGTGTCTTACTTAGATGAGGGCTTATGAAGAGGTTGCCATGTTGTAATGGAGTATCTGAGCTAATAAGATGGCTCAGTGAATTCAGGCACCTGCCTTCAAGCCTGAAAACCCGAGTTCAGTCCCCAGGACGCACGTGGTAGATGGAAAGGGCTAACTCCTGTAAGAGGAACATCTCTGTAGAGGAGTGAGACACTCCACTCCCACTCTTAAAGTGTGTGTGGTTCAGTTTGTGCTCATGGCACTGCGAGTTGAGATCTTGCTGTGTTAGCTAAGGTTGTGAGAGGTTTATAATTGACCCTCATTGAACGCTCATGTTGAAGAGCTGGAGGCAGGTTGTATTAGCTCCGGACCCACTCACACCCTGAAGCTGGAAACGACTTAGAGTTAGTAAGGAAACTGTCAAGTTAGCCAGTATTGAGACTCTCCAACTGATTGTGGGCAGACCCTAGCTTTAATGTGTGTCTCTCTTCTCTTGAGAATGCCCTTGTTGGTGGCAGTTGTCTTTGCACTCCTGTGAAACATGCATTTGTTTAAGATTTCCTCGAGCCAAAAAATAGGATTTTAATCAACTCAATTTCACTGTTTCTGGGTTTCTAGAATTCTGATCAAGAAGGAGGTGGAAAGAAAAAGAAGAAGAAGAAGGACAAGAAACACAAGAAGGATAAGAAGCACAAGAAGCACAAAAAACACAAGAAGGAGAAGGCTGTGGCCGTAACCACCCCAGCCCCTACAGCCCCTGCAGCTGTTTCTGCTGCCGCCACCACATCAGCACAGGAAGAGCCTGCAGCAGCACCAGAGCCCAGGAAGGTATTCACACCACCTCTGCCTACTGTCTGAGAAGTGGCTGTGCTTTTTCTAGCAACTGCCTGTTTCTCTGTAGTATTTTGATGTTTCTTGTTAACTGCCGTAATCAAGAAGAGTACAAATACCTTCAAAAAAACTTAATACTGGAATGTCTCAACTTTTTAAAACTACTTTCAAGGGACAGAGCACAGTGCCTTTTGCTTTGGATTGAGCATGTATGCTACTGCTTAGCCACACCCCCAAATACACACAATAAGTGCAATAAGAAAACTTCACATAAGGGACAAAAATGGGGACATCCCCAAGTAACTGATCACAACAGGATCTGTGTGCTCACCCATCGGTGTGTGTGTAGAGGCCATCAGTGTCTGTCTCTCTTTCTCTCATATTTTTATTGCACTTGACAAAATCAGGGCAGTGTGCATAGTTGATTCCTTAGGGTGGGCTACAAGTTGTCAGGGTTGGGCCAGCTCCCTAAGCCACCTGGCCTAGTGCTCACTGTGGGAGACAGGCTGCTGGGCCACAGCTAGAGCAGCTCCTCAGCACTGCCGCCTGCAGGTTGCTGCCACCTGGGGAGCCCAGCTCAGGTCCTCATATGCATAGCAAGCTCAGCTGAGGGCTTTCCTTATTGACATGCTCGAGGCTCTGGATTTGATCCCCTGGCTCCAATAAATTGGGTGTGCTGGTCTGCATGCCAGTGAGCCCAGGTCTTGGGAAGTTGACACAAAAGGATCAGAAGCTGAGGGTGGATCTTGGCACCATAACAAATTCTAAGCAAGCTTAGGCTACAAAGCAATCCTGCCTCAAGAGCTCTGGGTGGTCTTGTATGTGCAGGGCTCTGCTCTGTACTTGGTATCTCCCATTGTGTCTCAAGACTTAATATTTGCCTGGTTTGGGTTGGTTTTTCAGGAGACTGAGAGTGAAGCTGAAGATGACAACCTTGATGACTTAGAGAGGCACCTGAGGGAGAAGGCCCTGCGATCCATGCGGAAGGCTCAAGTGTCCCCACAGTCCTAAGTGGACATGTTTGTTACGTTGTAAATTTTATTTGGTTTGTACTCAATTCAGTTTCAAAATTTCTAAAATGTGTTCGAGCTTTAGACTATAACATTTGTTGTAATAATTGCTAGGTTGAAGTTCACCATGTTTTAAAAAGGGGGGCATGGATTTACATTGCAAAGGTGTCCACAGTGTATTAGTGACATTCTTCCATTGACATTTAGAGTGAAATATTTTAAGCCAAAAAAAAAAATCTCTTTTTTAAAAAAGGGGGTTTGAATATTGTTGGCATTCTTGTGGTTCCTTTAAATGCCCTTGCCTCTCCCAAGAGGTTGGGGTTTTTTTGTTTTTGTTTTCTTTCTTTCTTTTTTTTTTTTTTCTTCCCCCCCTCCCTTTTCTCTTGAGTCTTAGCACCCATGTAAATTATGCTTCCAACCTTGTATAGGTTTGTAAGCTCACCCAGAAGTGAGACCACTGATGAAGTACCACAGAGGTTTGAGTTTGAGTGAATGTTTGTTCACTCTGTTGCCTGTGGAGTCTGCTGTGGCAGGATGGCAGGATCCCAGCTCTAGAGCTGACTGTAGGCAGTTCTGCCGGGCTGCCCCAGGGATAGTTCCTAAGCTGACTTGGAACTCTGGGTTTTCTCCTTGAAGTTGCGTTGTTTTGTCCCCCCTTTTCATCCTCTTTTGTAAAGGCAATTGACTAGACCCAGGAAGGACCTTCAAGTACATACATTTGTTTTTTGAAACTTGGTGGCTCCCATTCATGGTTTTCCTCACTCTTCCAATTGGTGCCCACAACTGAAGAGCTGTGTACTTGGCAGGCTGGAAGGGCCTGGACAGTGTCTTGGTTTCACTTGTTTTATTTTATTTTATTTTTTAACTAAAGCTATATAAAGCTTGTGGATTAAACAGAATAAATTTCTAAATTTAAGAACATTGCCACTCACTTTTATTCACCTGACAGGGGGAGAGGCATGCAGAAAAAATAAAAAGTAATGGAACAGGCTCTCCCTTCCTTCTTTAACAATTAACTGCAAAGACTGCAAGGGAAAGTGTGGTTGGTGTGTTCTTGGAACATGAAAAGCCGATGAGGCCTGTTCACCAGGAAAAGCAGACGCTGGTTAAGGCAGGGCATGGTGTCTGTGCGCTCGCTCCACTGTGGAGGACCGGGCACACAGAGGTGGACTTGAAGAGGGACATGAGCCCGGGTTTGTGAAGGAAACCGGAGGTCTGTGCTGAGTATTGGAGGTGTGGGTAAATTTGGTTGTGATTTCTGACTTTAGATGAAACTAGAATACAAAATGCCCACATGTGAATCTCAGGGAAGCTCAAGGGTGTTTGGTTATTTCTGGCTTTTAACCAAAAGGCGGGGACACTTAAGACTTCAGTTGGGGTCAGGCTTGACTCCAGAAAGACCTGCACATGTACCAGCTCAGAGGAGAAGGGAAGGGGTAATAGGTGAAAGATTGTGGGAGCGAGTGACCAGGTAATTTCAGGAAGAGGAACTCAAGGAATTGATTCTATATGTTTCTTTTTTAAAAGATTTTATTTTATTTATATGACAAGTAGCTGTCTTCAGACACACCAGAAGAGGGCATCAGATCTCATTACAGATGATCACGAGCCACCTTGTGAGTGCTGGGATTTGAACTCAGGACCTCTGGAAGAGCAGTTAGTGCTCTTAACCACTGAACCATTTCTCCAGCCCTACATTTTTTTTTTTTATAATCTCCAACATTTATCCCAAAGTTGCACGTAAAAGGACAGCTTTCTTACTAATATTTTTCTTTTTCTGTAAATGAATTAATACATTTTTATTGACTTTAATCAAAAAAAAAAGAATCTGGGGCTGGGCTGGAAAGGTGACTCAGCAGTTGGAGGCATTGCTGCTCTTCCAGAGGACCCTAGTTCAATTCCCAGCACCCATATGGCAGCTCTTAGTTGAACTACAGTTCTGGAGGGTCGGAAACCCTCACACAGACATACATGGAGGCAAAACACCAATGCATGTGAAATATATATATATATAAATCTGGGGCCTTTGGTAGAACATTCCTTTAATCCCAGCACTTGGGGCAGAGGCAGGTTTATCTCTTCAATTCAAGTCTAACCTGGTCAACAGAGTAAGTTCCAGAACAGTCAGGGCTACACAGAGAAAACTTGTCTCAAAAAAAAACTAGCTAAATAAAAAGACATAAGGACTGGAGAAATGGCTCTGTGGTTAAGAGCACTGACTGCTCTTCCAGAGGTCCTGAGTTCAATTCCCAGCAACCACATGGTGGCTCACAACCATCTGTAGTGGGATCTGATGCCCTCTTCTGGTGTGTCTGAAGAGAGCAATGATGTACCTAAGATAAATCATTTTTTAAAAAATAAAAAGACAAGCAGTGATACGCTGGTTTTACATGGAGTATCTACAGTGAGTAATAAGGAAACAAGGTACTCAGTGGAGACAGTCCTGGAGGACTCCAGAACTGGGACTTGTGCAGAGCACTCCATGTGTTAACAGGTGGAAGCTGAACCTGGAGGACACAGGAGAAGCAGTATTCCAGCTTCTAGAATGCGGACTCCCAGTATAAAGCAGTGACCACCACTGGAGTATTTGCCTCTGGTTAGCCCGACATTTGGAGCATGTGTGACTGACCCCTACAACTCATGAGCCTGATGTACAGCAGTCCTTGGCTATACAGCTAGTTGAAGCTGTTTAGAGACTAACCCAGGCTACCCAAGACCCTATCTCAAAAATGGAGCCAGAGGTGTTAGCACATGTCTATAACTACAGCACTTAGGAAACAGCAGGAGGGCCATCCCTCAGCTATAGTTACCTACACAAGGCCACACCAGCAAGACCAGTCAGGCTCTCGTCCCAACCGTTACTGCCTGAGCCTGTGTTGGAGGCAGCTCTTGGGTCAAGCGCATTGTTACAAGTCTTTAAAGCTTCTTAACCCATTTCTGAACACAGAAATTACTAGAATTTGGATTTTTGTTTAGCATCATTTCCATAATGTCTTCATAAAGTAAGCAGCGAGTCGTTAGCGTCGACTGTAAAGTGTCACAGGTACACTACTTCGCAGCCATACTCTGAGACTATATTCCAGCCCAGTGTGAGTGGGAAGCCAGCCTGATCTACCCAGCAAGTTCCAGGCCAGTCAGCGGTATAATGATCTCAAATGATCCCATTATCAAGTGGTACATTTTAACAAAATCGAAACAAAATTTCTTTGATACTGGCCTGATAGAAACCGGGGCTTTTCCATTTTGTTTCCTGAGCCCAGCTGCCCTCAGGTTTGTCCACTGGGTGGCACCTAATCCCTACTTGGCCACAGAGTGAGCTGACATACTGTGGAGTCCTAAGACTCCATTATCTTTCCTTTTTATGTTAATATTTTAGGCAGGATCTCACGTAGCCCAGGCTGAGCATAAGCTTGCTGCCCAGCCAAGGATGACCTTGAATTCAGTTCCTGCATGTGTGTGTGCTGCACACCTCTCAGGAAACTTCCTTCTTCCTTTCCCTACACTCTCACCTTAACTTTGCCCTGAAAGCAGGAGGTCCTTCTCCCCAGGTTTCCAGATGAACTGGCTGTTGAACTTCACCCAGCTCTACCCAGTTCTCTGCAGTTCATAGCTGAGGAAACTCACTACTTGAGAAATTCACTGAGTGGATTTGAGTTCTGTCCATCAAATCCAGAGCCCACCCACCCCTCCCTTTAAGCCTTGGTTCCAACCCACATTAGGTGGCAGAAGTATCTGAGTGTTCTGCCATCTAAGTCTCAGGGTTGGATGCAGCTATTGCCAGAGCCTGTGACTGGCCAAGAGAGGCCATCATAGAGGGCTTTGTGGACTGAGGAGCTCTCTCACTTCTGCAGGCTGGAGGAGGACACGCTTCCCAGGACAGCATACTGAAGGCAGACAGATTGGCAGCAGTTCTTGCCAGAAAGTGTTTCCCTCTGAGGCTAAAGTCAGTATGAGAGGGAGTCAAAACCTAGAGCCTGGGGTGCTTATTGGCTAGTTAATTTTGGTTTTGTTTTGAGACAAGATCTTACTATCTAGCTGGCTGGCCTAAAGCTATGTAGACCAGACTGGACTTGAACTAACAGAAAGATATGCCTGCCTCAGCCTCTAAAGAGTGTGTGTGAGGGGGGTGGGGGAGAGGGAAGGAGAGGAAAGAGACGGATGTTTTGCTTGAATGCATATATGCATGTTTGCACCTCGTGTGCGAGTACCCTCAAAGGCCTTAGGATCCCCTAGGACAAGAGTTATAGATGGTTGCCCAAGGTTGCTGGGGATTAAACCCCAGTCCTCTGGGAAGAGCAGCCATTGCTGTCAACCACTGAGCCATCTCAGCACGCCCTATTGGGTTTTTTGTTTTTGTTTGTTTTGTCTTGTTTTGTTTTTTGAGACATGGTTTCTCTATGTAGCTTTGGTTGGACAGGAAATCAGCATGTAAACCTGGCTGCCCTTCGACTCAGATATCTTACATGCCTCTGTCTCCAAGAGCTGGGATTAAGTAAATCATGTGCCTCCCGCCTAGCAGTGTTATTTATTCTTATTATTGTTGAGTGCATTTACATCAGTGTATGCTGTGTGCATATGCATTTATGTGTGCCACCATGCCCACTCGGAGGTTGGAGAATAGCTTCACAAAGTGCGTTCTCTCCACTTTATATCAAGTCTGTAGTTGGAACTCAAGGGTAAGGTTTCTTCTCTTGCAAGTGCTCACTTGCTGTTTATCTTTTGGGGCGGTTGTTTTTGTTTTATTTGTTTTGCTGGGACAGGGTCTCATTATGTAGCCCTGACTATCTTGCTGTCTAGATCAGGCTGGCCTCAAACTCAGAGATCCTTCTGCTTCTGCCTCCCTAGTTAGTGCTGGGATCAAAGGTGTGTGTCACCATGCTGGACCTTTGTCTTTTTGAGTCAGGGTCTGATTTAGGGTGGCCCCAAATGCATGGGATCCTCCTGCTTCCACCTGATGTTGGGATTACAAACGTACTACTGTGACTGGCTTATGTGTTGTTGGATCTTGAACCCAGGGCTTCCTTCATGCTGAGCTGCCTCCCCAACATCCAAGAACAGATTTTAACATAGCTCTAACCACAGAGTTGAGAGTAGAAACAGAGATAGAGATGGGGTGGGGGCAGGGCAAGGCAGGGGAGGGAGGGAAGGAGGGAGGGAGGGAGGGAGGGAGGGAAGGAGAG